CCGTGGGGTCCCCAGCCCCGAGGCCTCCGTGGGGTCCCCAGCCCCGAGGCCTCCGTGGGGTCCCCAGCCCCGAGGCCTCCGTGGGGTCCCCAGCCTCGCCCTCCGTGGGGTCCCCAGCCTCGCCCTCCGTGGGGTCCCCAGCCCCGCCCTCCGTGGGGTCCCCAGCCCCGCCCTCCGTGGGGTCCCCAGCCTCGCCCTCCGTGGGGTCCCCAGCCCCTGGCCTCTTACCGGCCTTGCTGCTCGGGGTACTTCTGCTTGCAGTAGGTCTCCAGGGACGCGTAGACCTTCTCCCGCAGGACCTCCACCTCCCCGGGGTTGGAGAGGCCCTTGGCATCTGGGACAGTGAAGGAGGAAGAACGAGAGGAAGAGGGCAGGTGAGTCAGGCCAGGGCGGACGTGCAGATGACGGGCCCTCAGGACGACGCCCCTCAGGGAAAGGCAGCACACTGGGATTGTGAGACCCGATCAGAAGGGGGGACCGCTGGAGAAGAGGCGGCTCCAGGGCTGCCTTGGCCGAGAGGCCGCGTGGCCTCCTCTTACCTGGGTTAAACAGAATGATTGCCCGCAGGCAGCCCAGCTCTGTCTTGTCCATCCTCATGTCACGCATTTTGGACACTAGTTCTGTCAGCACCCTGGAGAGGGACCTGCAGGTCACTCAAAGGTCACAGCTCAGCCAGCCTTGGACACGGACCAGACTATAGCCCCACCCCTTCTAGCTACAGGGCAGCCTGGCCAAGGGCCACTGACCGATCAAAGATGGCTCCCACGCCTGCGGAATGGGCTGAGTTTCTGTGCACGTGAAGACCTGTGGCCAGGAGGATGCCATCTCGGACATCGATGGACCGATGGGAGAAGGAAGCAATGAGGAGCTCATTCCAGCCTAGGGGCCAGAGGGCACCAAGGGTCAGCAGGCAGACGCCAGGCCATGAGATCCAAAGCACCAAGAAATAGGGGCAAGTCAGCAAGTCAAGCTCCCCAAATATGCAAGAGGAGGCCATAGGGTCGCTGAAGGTCAGGAGGACAGAGAGGTCAAATGTCAAGCAGTCAAAGAGATTCAAGGTCACTGACCTGCCCGCAGCAATATGACCTGGTCATCCAGAGGTAGGGAGGAGAAGTGTGGGATCCTCTTGGCCCACTCAACGAGTGTGAACAGCTGTTTGTCAGCTGCCTGGCAGATGTTAGTCACTGGGTCATTGGGCTGCAGAGAGCAGAAGATGCAGGGGAGGGGTGGAGACACCTTCCTCGTGAGGTTTGATACCCCCTTTACTCCTTCAAGCCTGTCTGAACCCATCTCTGCAGTTCAGGCACCTCTCTGCCCTGGACTTTGTAGTGGGAGCAGAGAGAGGGCGCTCTCACCCCACATCAGAGACACAGTCTCACAATGTAGTCCTGACCGGCCTGGAACTTGCTATGCAGACCAGGCTGGTCTTGAACTCACGGAGATCCACCTGTGTCTGTCTCCCAAGTGCTGGGATCACAGGCAAGTGCCACGCCCGGCTCCCTTCAGATACTGAGAGGCCTGCGAGTTCAGGGCAAGGTGCAGGGATTGAAGGAAGGGAAGGGGAGAGACGGAGGACCCTGGACTCCTTCCCCAACCCCACCCGAGGGAGGAGCGACCCACCCCGCCGCTCACCCACCCCACCGCTCACCACCCACCCCACCGCTCACCACCCCACCACCCCACCGCTCACCACCCCACCGCTCACCCACCCCACCGCTCACCACCCCATCGCTCACTCACGCTGCTGCCGCTGCCCCCGGTCCCCCCAGGGCCCTCAACGCCCTGGTCGCTCTTCTGCTCCACGGCGAGCTCGGCCTCCAGGATCCTGTCCACAGGCATCTCCTCAGGGGCTGCTCCAGCCCCGTCCCCGTCCCCATCTTTGTCCTTCCCCCGCTGCCGCTCCTCCTGGACCGCTGGGGGGGGGGGGGGGGAGAAAACGCCAAGTGAGAAGCCGGCTCTGAGGGTCTGAAACCCGCCAGGGCCTTCTCAGGGCTGACGGCACTTAGGAGAGGTGGCGAGCAGAGGTCGTTAGGAACGGAAGGCTGCGTAACCTGCAGGCAAAAGGGATCCCAGGAGAGAGGGCACCTGCCAAGCACACACAAGACCCTGGCTCCCCTCCCCACAAACACACACACGTAAGTAAACAAACAGGCAGATAAACAGGTCCAACTGACAACAGTCCACTGGTGAAAGAATCGGGGAAGAATCTGAATTTAAATAGGACAGATGATATGCTAAAAAATATGCCAGCGTGCTTTAACATGCTCTGGAGGTCTTAATGGCCTTGCGGGTCCCTGCCCCCATGTTAAGGGTGAGGAACTTGAGGCCAAACGCATTCAATAGCCTCCTAAATTCACGCACCACACGGCCAGTTATGCGTCTGACTCCAGACATGCCTGATGGCAAACCCTATGCTCTGCTGACTCAGTCATGATGGTGATGACCCCGACCCAGGTTTGGGAGGCGTGTGTTCTGATTTCGGCCCTGCCACTTTGCTGTTGTGTGACCTCGGGGGAGTCAAGGTTCATCTTCTTTAAAGCAGGGATCGGACCAAAATCAGCCCTAAAGGGTCTCTTAGCAGTCCAGGAATCGGGCTTGGACAGACAGAGACGGTGAATGCCAAGTCCTGACCTCTTCAGCGACCCTGTAACTTAGCAAGGTAAGTCTCGGGGGTCCAACGAGAGACTGGGAGACCAGAGAAAGCACGCAGGGTCAAGGCGGGAAAGGGGCTGTGTGAGGCGGAGAGGAGAGAACAGAGGCCCATCCTGCCTAAGGCCAAAGCACGCTGGGAGGGTCCACAGCATCACAGGACTAACGCTGAGGAGCAACCATTAAGAAAGAACCTTGGAGACAGAGTGAGGTACCCAGGACCAAGCCGAGGAGGACGGGAAAGAGAAATCAAACTTCGCCCCCTGGAGGAGAGAGCGTGCGGTCCCACAGATGCGGAGGCCACCTCCGCAGGCTCTCCCACGCAGGCTCTCCCACGGGTGGGTGACGACTGCAGGCCCACGGGGCGGGGCGGGGCTCACCCTCCCTCTTCATGCCGGTGGCCAGGCACTTCTGGTAGCGGCAGTACTGGCAACGGTTCCGCTGGCGCTTGTCCACCGTGCAGTCTTTGTTGTCCCGGCAGGAGTAGGTCAGGTCCTTCCGGATGGTGCGTTTGAAGAAGCCCTTGCAGCCCTCACAGCTGTAAACGCCATAGTGCTTGCCTACGAGGGGAGAAGTGTGGCGGGAGGACAGCCATGGAGACCGCCCACCACTGCGTCCCTTGACCATCTGCCCACAGCGGGGGCAAAGTCTAAATCCTTCCGAAACAGAGCAGCGCACCAAAGGTGAGAGAGAACTCAGTCTGCTCCTCAGAGCCCCTGGGCCAGCCCCTTCCCCTGACTGCCCCTACCTGACTCTAAAGGCCCTAGACCTCCTTGCTCTGGCCAACCTGGGGAAGCCGTGGGAACCCCACAGGCCGCGGTAACCAGCCCACAGCTCTTTCCTCCTCTGCACTGTGCTGAGCCCCGTACCTGAGCTCCGGTCCCCGCAGATTGCACATAGCCGTTTGCCAGCCCCGGGGCCACCTGGAGGGGGTGGACAGTGCAGGCCTCGGACCCCTAAGACCGGTGGCTTCACATCTTCAGGGGGGCCAGACCCACCCCCAGGGAGAGACACTGTGGAGTTAATCTGGGGTGGGGGGAAACAGGGAAGTCACAGGAGGCTCATTTGGAAAGAGCATCTCTCAGCTGTCAGGGAAACCATTCCCTATCTCTAAGCAGGTCCCATACCCACTCCAGAGGGTACCAGTGATACTGTGGTGTGATGTAAAGGGCCTCCCCTGAAGCATAACCCCAAGAATGGACATGCACCCTTCTGTAACTGTGGGACACAGCGGCCCCGAGGGGCACACGTCTTAGATGGGCATATAGAACCAAAGGGCAGAAAGTCGCCGTGAGCTGAAAAGGATATCAAAAATATGTTTGTTTGTTTTCAAAAATAGGGCTAGAAGAAGCATGCACCAAAACAATATGGTTCAGTTCAGGAAGAGCAAGGGGTCTGAGCCCACAGGCCTGCTGGGACTGGAGAACCACAAGTCAACGGGTCACGGGGAAGTTCCCGCCAAGATGGTGGGCAGGGTCAGAAGGTGGGAATAAGGAAATGAAAGCAGAGAGGCAAGAAGCAGGTCACAACCTCTCTCACCTGAGGACTGCTGACAGGCCCGGAGAATCCTGGGGGAGCCGGAGGGGGCAGGCCGGGGGACCCCATGGAAGAACTGATGACCGGGAAGGGGGAGCCCAGTGGAGGGGGTGGCATTGGAGGTGGCTGCGCTGAAGGGGTCAGAGGTGGGCCAGGAGGAGAGGAGGGAGGGATCCCCTGGGAAAGGGGGTTTGGAGAGGAGCTGTCTGGGCTTCGGGAATCTGGGGGGGGGGGGGAGGTACACACAGGCAGACACACAGACAGGAGAGACAAGCAGAGAAGGTTGAGTCTTGTGATCATCCAAACGCACACTTTAATTCTTCCTGACCCGCCCACCGAACCCCAACAACCCCCGAGTTCGGACAACTTCACTCCTAAAGAGTCGCCAGAGAGAGGAGGGAGTTCAGGCGGAGACTACCGGGTCATCCCGGGCTGACCCCGCGGGCGGAGAAGCACGTGGGGGTGCACCCGAGAACTCTGTCCCCAACTTAGCACACTCGGGGCCAAGAGCAAGGGAGGGATACCGGGTCCCAGGGCGCAGGCTCAGCCTCCCGACTCCTCCAGCCCGCGGGGACCGGCGTCCTTCCCACGCCCGCCCGGGACCTCGCGCGCAGGCAGGCCCGGCGCGGC